GCTGTAGCTGTAGATGGAGTCCTGAGAGAGACCGAGACTGGAGCCGGGGTCCACCACCGCTAAATACTCCTACAGACACACGGTGACAGGAGAAGAGCTTTACACATTCTCAAAGCATTTCAGACGTTTGATTTCGGGTCTAAATGTGTGGATGTTTCTGTCCCTCAGAAGACTGCAGACGGCACTCACTTTAAAAGCCTGGATAACTGCAGAGTCCAGAGCAAACCAGTCTGTCCGTCCGCTGATTTTAACCGTGCCTATGAAAAACTCCAGCTGTTTCACCTCCTATCAATGAGACATTTGATTTTCAAAAGTTACAGCAAATCAGAAGGTTGTTTATAGTTGTAAAAACAACATATTTATATAAATAATTACATTCAATATTTAATTAGAATTTTTAAATATAAAAAATATTAATTCAATATTATTACAAATATTAATATTTTCTTTATTTTATTAAACATTATTTTAAAATATAAAAAATATAACAAACAACAATATAAATTAAATATATAAAATGGTTACATTTAATAATAATTGTTTTTGTTAGCTGAAATAAAATAAAACAAAGAATAGATTAAAAAAACGTAAAAACTTAAACAAAAATATAGTCTTGACAAGTAACTGAAATAAAATAAGTTTAAGTTGGAGTACTACATAATTTCAACTGAAATAAAAATAAATTAAAATTTTATAAAAAACAAACCAATAAAAATGTCAAAGCACATATCGAAATTACTAAAACTTTAACTAAAATTAAAATGAAAAATATAAAAATAAAAGCTAATTCAAAATATTTATAAATAGGCTTCTATATATAGAAAATATAATATACAGAATAAAAATAATACAATGACAATTGTAAATAACATTGGTGTGTAAATGCATAATAGTATTCTGTATAGTATGTGGCCCGTCCAGTCAGAATTCAGAATCAGAAATATCCGTTTTATGATGTACAATATATGATCAGCTGATTCATCAGGATGAAGATGCTTGTGTAAAACACTCACGTCTTTAAATAGGTGCTGATTGGGTATGCGAACCAACACTCTGACGAGACTTTCATCCTTCTGCAAAGTTGTGGTGGGGCTTTGAAAGACATCTGTGAGAGACGAACAGAAACTAAAGTGAGAAAGTGTAGAATTCAAGAGTGTCTGGATGTGAAATCTCTGTGTAAATGTGTGACCTGGGTAAGGCTCAGTTTGTCCCTTGCCGAAAGATGACACCGATTGCTGTGGTGATGAGACGCCCAATGAACCGAGCCCAGAGGACTGGGAGGTGGAGCTCGGAGGTCTGGAGGAGGGGCCAACCGTCTTCAGCTGGTCATTCTCCGTCTTCAGGTTTTCCACCGTCATCTGTCAATGCATTTATTAAGGGATTTTCAAACGCAAGTATTACATATTTAATATAAATTTTGTTCATTATTATTATTATTATTACTATTATTATCATCATTATTATTAGCCAGTGTGTCTAAATAATAAGAATAATATATATATATATTTTAATTACA